CACAACTTGGCCGCCAGTGTTTGTGACTTTATGAAATCCCACAAACTAAGAGCTAAATACTCTATTTGCACCAATCTGATTACAATCCCAATTCATTGATGCAATGCGCTATTCTTTTCACAACGTCCTACAGGAAATATCCACACAACATCCCTTCGATTAATAGCACATATTTTGACTAAGCAATAATACAGAAGTTGCGGATAATCACATGTGAGTAAGCAAGTTTCAAAACTCAGGTGTGACCAACTTTCCGAGCCATCACTTGAGAAAAAAAGTTTCAAAAAGTTGCCATACGGTCCATTCTTTATATATCCTTATATACTAATATATATATATTTATAGTAGAATATATAATGCAAAATTTGAGGCAAAAAGAAATGTCAAAAACTTGAATGTGACTAACTTGCCTGGACATCACACTCGCAGTCCAGGTGCAAGATAAAAATTTTTAACAGTTTAGAAGCCGTCCATACTTAATACACACTTATAATTATATCACAGATTTATTTATATATATATATATATACACTTTTTCCAAACTTTATGAAATTGCTATCCCACACCTGTACTGTGAATGTGATAGCCAGACAATTTAGCCACATTCAAGTTTTGACATTTCATTTCGCCTCAGTTTTTGTTGTATATATTTTAGTTATTTATAGAAGAGACTATCGTTGCATTGGCAACCGTTTTGAGGGCTGAGGAATAGCAGAGAATTTAGGCGCCTTGGCAACCAGCGAAGTAAATCAGAACAGCATCACATCGAGTCCCTGAGTCCCATCAGGTCGGCCGGCGATAAACGGTGGGTCTGACAACCTGACGACTAGATTTGCTTCAGAAGCGTCAATTGACATGGTCTGTCCAGTACCACGATGGACTGCAATGGCCTGACATCTGGTCGCCATGGGCAGGAAAGAAGCTTTTCCCCAAATGTCTTGACATTTGCTTTCCCTTCGACTCGGTCCGCCTGTTTGGAAGACGCCGACGGACTCGTCTGGCTCTGCAGCAGTCCTCGAGACGGGCGAACATTTCGGTCTGGCTGATGTACACGCAAAATTCGCCAAAGTTGTCTTGACGTCGTGTTGTCAGGTTGACCTCGCAGAGACGACCCTACCCGTACCACCATATCTGACATTGTCGTCTCCCTGAAACTGGCCGAAATGATCGTCAGCGTGTTGAATGAGCAACGTCAGCCTCAGCAACTGGCCACATTTCACAAAAATGATGATGGATTATGAGGAATTTCCAGTTAAAGATGGCAAAGACTGGCAAATGCAATGCCGGCGAGAGGTCTGAGAATGTGCCCAGTCGGCGTTGGCCGATGCGATGCTGGAAGATGACGGGAGACGAACTGCAGAGCATGAACATGTCTGGAGGCTGCAACCAGACGAGACGGCATTCCAGAATGTGCTTCAAGTGCATGCTGGACAGATTTCCACGTTCACGCCAGTTAAAAGTCATCCTGTGCACTGAATACCACCCAAGCGGGCACATTGGCAAAGCAAGTGGGGATATCTAACACACTCATCCCTACATACTGTATATATACATACAAATGTGTGTCTTTGTGTGTGTGTGTGTGTGTATGTGTGGGTGGGTGTATATATGTATGATCTTTCAGAAGTAGCTGCATAAAGTAGAATGCGGCATTTATTAGCACAACTTTCGTTTTGTCTAAAAATATCGGTAAATGTTATATGCAAATTGGCTTCATCAGAATGCGAACAATTCGCGCTAGGCACATAAATGGAGCACAACTATGCCGGGTTGGGAAAGCAGGTGAGATTTCTTGACAAGCCGGATTAAAGTAATTGTCATCATCTCCCCAATTGTGCTTGATAGTCTTGGAATCAGGTCGTCCTGGAGCAAACAAGTCTATCTCGCCACATATACATACAAATAATCACACACACTTACACACGCACACATACACACCAACGCACAAGCAGACATACACTCATGTTTTTGGGTTGGCGTCCGACAGTAGCGAGAAGAAAGAGCATGAAGAGAAGCCGGGTCTCGAATAGTGTCTCGGTAGAAAGCTAATCGCTTAGCAGATCAATTTGGACGATACCAAAGCCGACTGGGTTTCGATAAATTGTCCGAGATGGCATTGTTTGGCAGATTCGCCGGTCGATCTCATCAGAAAAGACGACGACCCATTCGCGTTGTTCTGCAACTGCTCGACTTTACTACAACGTCCAAGTTGATGCAGTCCATGAGACATCCTCCATCGTTTCGGGCGAAGATGGACTCAACTTTCGTCCATCAAATGATGGCTCATTAAGCCTTGATGACCAGAACATGGCATTAGGCGCTTTTGATCACTCTAATTTAGGACGGCTATTATATACATATGTTGACACACACACACACACTCACACACGCAATCAAAAGTGGCATGACCAAAAGGAAAGATAATTAGACAAACCATTATATATCCATCCATCCATCCATCCATCTCTCTATCTACCTATCTATCTAT